GAGCTGCAGAGAAGCAGAGGCATATAAAACATGAGGAAGAGGAGGAGAGAGACATATATTGGGACAGAGGAGAGCGATGGTTCCCGATTAAAGATGAGAAGAGTTTGCACCCGTCGTTAGAGAACAGATGAGAGACCTGCAGAGCGGACCGAGGCCGTTAATAGGTATCTCAGCCGTCGTAGAAGACACGAGAGTCACGAGGAGCAGAGAGAGATGTGTATGAGAAAGAGGAAGAGATGAGCAGAGAGAGAGAGAGGCACGAGAGAGAGATGATTAGAAGAGGAGAGAGAGAAAAGAAGGCAGAGAGAAGTAAGAGTACGCAGATGGAGAGACCGAGAATGATAAAGCGCGCAAGGATGAACGAACACCGTAACACTGTCAGATTCGGAGCCGCGAAACGAAAAACCTGTTAGCGCACGAGCACTGTATAATCACACCAGTGACGCCCGTAGTTTTCGGTACCTACCACTTTGGCGCTAATTCTCTACGAATGCCTCCACCATGAGACGGCCAGCCTGTGAGCGCGCCCACTGTTGGCATTACGATACTCACCACATGAGGACCGACCTCTTTCTCTCGTGCCTCACCTGCTGAGCCCCACCTGTTGGCATTCAACGTCATGCACATCACATCCCATGAGGACGGGCACCTGTGGTGCGCCCCGCTCGTTCGCATTACCGACATGACCTCCACCGGTCGTTGCTCTAACTTCAGGATCCTCCGCCAAGCTGTGACGCACCTGTTGCTACTTATCCGATACTCACCATCGAGGATGGCCACTAATCTCATAGCTGTGAGCGCCCCGTCTTCTCACTTTCGTCAATCTCTTAAACGAATAAACTAGTGACTCACCCATGAGGACGTTCCCAGCTGTGAGCGCCCCCTGTTGCATTACGATGACTCACTCGGCAAGAGGATGGGCAGGACTAGTGAGGTGTATCGCCCCCGTGGGTCGAGTGGGAGCGATGAGTGAGAGCAGTGTAAATTTCGCCTGATATTTGCGGCTCCCGATCGGCAATAGTCCACTCGGATGCACCGTGCGGGCTAGAGCCTTGAGCGAAACGATATGTTGCATCACGCGATATACACGGCGCCGGCCGCCGAGTCTGTGCGAGGCAACGGGGTTACAACACAGGTAGAGTTCGTACTAGTACGAGTACCAGTCCCAATCAGCAGAGGTCTGCCGCTGCGGGACAGCGACACGCGAGGACCGAAGCTAGATGTACAATGCTCTTCGCTCACCGCAACATGCACATTGGCCAAGCGTTTTCAATAACAATGTAATCTAATAACAATACAAAATCTATTTACTACGAGTCACCGTCAGCGCACAAAACTCCGCCGAGCCATCCAGAGCTGTTTGTTCGAGTAAGGCATTTGTCGTAGCCACGACAGGTAGGCCCTCAGGCCACTAAGCTCTACACCGCCACGTGAGGCGGGCGGAAGAGGTGCGAGGGCTGGAAGATAGCTGCGGCACTCCCGCCCAGTCTTTTCGTCTGATCGTAAAAACATGTGACTCTAACATATGAGAATTACTTCTGGATGTTCAGTGATGGCGGCGTATTTCGTAGATTAGCGTACGTGTAAAAACGCAACCGGCCATGCCAGCGCATCTTGTTTGACTTCTCGGTCACTGGGGGCCCCTTTTAAAAATTTTTATGATTTGATATTCTTTTCATACCCTTAAGAGATTCGTCAAACCTGCATTCAGGGTTACCAGGACTATATTATTCATCCGCGGATATACATTTAGTAAAAGTCAAATACTAGTCATAATAAATATAATAATATTTAATTTATGTTTTAGTATTTTACAATTATATATCTCATATATCTCATCTCCTCTCTCTCTCTCTCTCTCTTTCCTTCTCCTTTCCTTTTCCTCTCTTTTCTGATTCTCTCTCCACTCTTATCTCAAAAAACGTATATGCCGATCGCTTCCTGATCTGGTCATGCTCCCAGTCGGGGTCATCACTACTAGTCTATGCTATCTAATATCTTCTCTCTCGCATACCTTTTCTCTTCACTAGCGCATATGACCTTTTCCAGATAACATTCTCTCTAGTCTGCAATACTTCTCAAAATAGTTAGAAAAAAACATAACACATATCATAATTCAACACGGATAACTATTAAAGCCTCAAATATCAATCTGTCGTGGAGCTATCAACTTTATATAAAAAGGTCTCAGCTGGATATAATCTGACAGAGAGCGAGCAGTCCGAAAGGTCTGATGATACGACTACCATCCGATGTTAATGCAACAGACCCACGATCATACGACTCTACGATAGAGCGTACAATTGAATAAACAATACATGGACGTTTCCTAAATTTAGCGAGTCATCTAGTTCTTAACGAGTCTGAGAGAGTCATCCGTCTGTCGAACGTCTGTGCCTAGAGAGCGTTATTAGGTCAACCTAATACCAGGACTCGCCGTCGTAAAACACTCCTCTTCACCTCGCGCAGCATGCCACACACGTTGCACGAAACCGAACTGTATCTAGCGACCCGCGCCCGGGAGCGGGACACCATCTGTAGTGTTGGCAGTAAAACACTAGCTATCCGCCTGAGTGAACTCTTGGAACAACGCTGCACCCTTCTCCAAGCAGAGACCTCTGCCCCACCGTCCGCTCGCCAGTCCGGATGGCACGAAAAGCCAAAGTGCAGAAACTATCCCGATGACTATAAAAATACAGAGTGTCCAGTAGACGAGCGGAAGTGCACACACGGAGGAGAACTCAGAAGCGATCACAGCATTGTGAACATAAGAGAGCACAGACAAAGAGTATAGTGCACGATCTTCCACGCGTCACCACCAGCTGGCTGTCCTGCACAAAAGAGCGCATGAGCGTCACATCACTAGTCTAGCAGAGCAGGCGAAACTGTGGAAAGATTTGACATTCCTCAGTGCCCGGGCTCAGGAACAAATCGCAATTCCTCACAGTCGCACTCACGTCCGAAATATCTCAACAAACAGTCTCATATGATGTGTAATATATCTCTACAGATATACCTCTCAAATGTCCTGAGAAACGTATACTGAGTTTATTAAGATCAATTTAAAAATTGTAGTCTCACAATTCCGTGCGTTTCTCTGATAACATCAGGTGGAGTAAGCCAGTCCGTCAGCAACACGGAGAGCTAAAACTGCTGCGAACATGTTTAGGTTCTAATATTATTGGAGTTGCATCTGAGAAGAGTATACGAAAATGTCTATCGCGCGCGACTATCGCGCGTCCACACACCGCGAGTAGTCCTATTCGAGCGCATGAACAGAGAATCGGGCTAATGTTGAAGACACTAAATAATTCTCGAGAGCCTAATTGCTTCGTCAAGATCGTCTTACGGAACTCGTAGCGTCATGGCGTTACGCTGTCTGTCTGTGGTGAGTCAGTCAGTCTGTCTCGATCTCTGCCAGTCTGCTTGCGGTCAGTCAGTCAGTGTCTGTCTGTCTTTCTGTCTATTTACCCAAATACATTGATAGTGTGTGTACGTGAGTGTGCAGAAGTAAAAATTTGAGATAAAAGGCCCTGATGTATATATACGTAATATAGAAATACGGTATATATTTTAATTGCGAGCATTCGAGACCTTATTTCTCTTTGTCAGTCTACAAGAGAATGTAAAACAACCCGTCTGCTTCTACAGCAGATCGTACTCGATCCCACCAAAATAACGTAAAATAACTAAATAAAGTATCATATATGAATCTATAAAAAACCGATTAATGAACATTACTAATATTCGTGATAACAGACCTAACAAATAGAACATTGTGGGTTAGGGTGTTGGTAGGTCACCCTCGACCTTTCAGACCAGGTTCAGATGAACTCTGGATTCCTAAGCGAACCCCGCGTCCATGTCGTCGCGTCGGCACTCTTCGAGCGATCATCGCTTGTCTAAACAGACGACACCGGGGCGGCGCCTCCTGCATGTCGCGCCGAAAACCACGGTATGACTGCAGGCTGCTTTTAGGCCTGGTCCTTTATCTCCTCTCTCTAGCACAAGCAATCCTTCCTCCTGCGGTCTTGGTGGGTCGAGGCGGATGCAAATTATTTTCTGGAGCTACGGCCATCTTGAGTTCCGGACCACACGGCCAATGCAGCATCATCTTGCGCGCGATATCCATGGTGATTCGACTGTCCGCTCTGCGAGGAGCGATCAGAGTGGTTAGTAAATCTGAAATTAATCCTACTGGTTGGATCTGTATACTACGCTAACCGCTCAGATCCGCTCGATCACCATCTAACCCTCAGTACCTCTCTAACCTAAACAGTGTCATAGAGCACTGCTATCACACACGAACCACTGGAGAACAAACATCGCATAACTAGATTCAACAATTCGAGTATATATGATGTAAATTTTAAATGCGAGATCTTATAATAGAAGTGCAAAAAATCTAAATGCAGGAACTTTACGTCTAAATCTAGCCGGGAGGAGATACCAACGGGGGAAAACCTAACTGAAAAAAGATGGGGAAAAAAAAAAATTGGCCATAATACGGAAGACTAGAAAGCGCACTTTTACTTCACGATTAAGCCACTTCCAACGCGAATTCTCTCTGCGCTTTCGTCCTCGTTCTGTTTTGCTGTGTTGGCTTCTATGTGTGCTTGTTGTGCTTGTCGGGCTGCCGCTCGTCCGTGGTCCATGCTCTTGGTCTTCTCTTCCTT